GTTTTCAGCGCAGGGCTCAGAATCTCAAGGCTATCATGCTTTGCCCTGAAATGGGTGATGTTAAACATGGCTTGTACACAATATAGGCTGGAGAGATCGATGTGGTGGTATCCTCCTACAACTGCTGAAATTCTATACTGTACCATGCTAGTTTTAAGAAGTGCAAGTTAAGTAGGTGGAAGATCAATGTGGAGGAATAAAGGTACATAGTTAACGATGATTATTCAACCTTAATTGTAAACTTCCTAGGTATCTAGAATTCAAGTTTAAATATTTGGATATATATATACTGTGAATGTTGTTTTACAGGGTAACAGTTTAATGCAGCTGTCTCTATGTGGGAATTAATAAATATTTACTCCAGCCCTACTTCAAGCATATCTGAAATCACATTCCATGTTCAGTTTGGAAATAAGACTTTGTTCCATTTTATGCAAGGAAGCAAAATGCACTTTAAAGTCTGAAATGTTTTGTCTTCTGTGCTTCAGTTTTACTTATAAAGAAAATACTTTTTCAGAAAAACGCAACTCTACTGTATAACATGTTTCCTCAGTAACCTTGATAGTATAACTCTGATTCTTCTGGTAAAGAGACAGAAACCCAGAAGGATGATGACTGTCTGACCCATTTAGTGGCTCAGGTAAAGAAATGCAGATGGTATGACTAACAGGCTTCTCTGACTATATATTGGTCTCTTATGTCATCTAATACTAATGTATTAGGTTAAAATAATAGTTCTGTAGCATCTTTCATGTAAGGGTCTCAAAGCTCTTTACAAACACTAATGAATTTAGCTTCTCAATGGTATTATCCTTATTCTAAAAATGTAGAAACTGAGGCACAAAGATTGTGACTTGTCCAAGTTCACATGCTGTATTTGTGGAGGAGGCAGCATCAGAACTTAGCTCTCATTATTCCTGGGCCAGGGCCTTCATAAGACCAGCCTTTCTTCACTAGAAGTGTATCCCTACTTCATGTGCTATTGATAACACTTGATTGTAGCTACTGATTTTCATGAGCTTTCCACAGGTTTTAGATATGCCCCCCCTTCAGTTAATTACCTTTTTTTTTTTTTTTTTTTAAATAAGAGTGGCAACAAATGAACTTAGCTTCTCTAGAATTTATTATCCAATATAACATACATTTAAGTGTAGTTACTCTCAAAAGTACTATAGAAAAACTAGCACCTTCTTACTCAGCTGATCTGCTCCCTGTATGTATTCAGAGTAGCATCTGCTATTTTAGTGATGAAAACAGTTCAAAGTGGTACAAACATAGAGTGGGCTGGATTCTATTTCTTGTGTATCACCAACATGGATGTTTACTAAGTTGCTGCTCTAGAGCTAGATCAGTAATAACTTCAACCTACAGAAGGCAAAGCAGTTGAACTCATGTACTAAAGATATTAGTTAGCCTGAAAAATCTCTCTCTCTGAAGTTGAGGTCTGCTTATCTCATTCATCAACTTAACTTTGCAGAGCTGGCAGTTGAAAGTTCACCCTGTACATCCCTTTCCTTTAGGAGTCATAGTAAGAATGGGATTACCTGAATTGCTTTCAATATGCTCCTAACACTTGCAGCTCTGCACTATAAGATAATGACTATAATAAAATCTCATGCTTCAGGGCTTCAGATGGTCACTTGTAAGGGTCAGGAAGGATTCTCTCCTCCCCCCCCCCCCTGCACATTTGTCCAGATGTAGTCTGGATTTTTTTGCCTTCCTCTGAAACATCAGAAATTGGCCACAGCTGGAGATGGGGTACCAGATGGGGTGGGCCAATGCTCTGCGGTGGTCAAGAGAATCTTCTTTCTAGATGAAATAGCTAAAGGGAAATAGCTAATGGCATGGGGGCGGTGGAAATTGGCACTTGCATGCTGCCAGAGACACAGGGAGACTGCCAAACAAGGCCTAGACAAATGCTAGTTCCCTTTTCCTTTCCAGGAAAACCACTGTCAGGCCTATTCCACCATCTTATTGAATATTTTTTTGCCTGAGAATTTCCTTTTTTATTTATTTTTCATGCACACAGCTTGTAACTGAAAATAGCCTAAACTAATTTCCCTTGAGATAGCTCACATGTTCAGGGTCATACTAACTGTCGTATTTGGTATCGGGAAGGAATTTCCCCCTAGGTCAGATTGGCTGGGACCATGGGGGTTTCTCACCCTCCCCTCCAAAATGGAGCATGGTTTGGCTGCTGGGATCATCTGGACATATTTTACCTAATCAATTCTCTGCCACTGCAGGAACCTCAGGCATTAGTGGCACCGTAGTCTCTGCTGTTTTCTGCCTGTGTCACACAGTTTAGTCTCCCAAGGACCAAAATGCTTTGGTGTCACTAAAATATTTTGGGTTTAATATAGGTGAAAACTAATGGCCTGTGATATACAGGCAGTTTAATGGTCTCTTCTGGCTTTATCTCTATGCAAGTTTTAAAGTGGTATTTTCTAAACAGTGCTGATTTGATATGGAAATAATTAAAAAAAGGAAGTATCCCATAGTACCATTTTAGAGAGACTTTTAAGAACAGATCTGCACAATGTGGGTAGGTATGGTTTTAAAAACTTCTGAATTATGGTTTCCTGTTAAAAACTCAAATGTTCGGTAAAACCTTGGAAAGTAAGAAAATACCTGGTGTTGTCAATATGTCTGCCTGGAGCAGAACAAACACAAATAGTCTCACTGGGGAAAATAATCCTCTGCTTCACCTTGTAGACAAATAGGAAAATATTATTCATACAACGAAAAGCATTGAAATTCTTGGCAGCCAACAAGGAACTTCAAGACCTGAGGGTCAGATTAAACTGATTTTGGTTATTTTTATTCCCTTTGCAATAAAGTGGTTGGTGCAGTATATTGGGATTACTATTATTGGTGATGGTGGGTGTTTTTTTTAAAACCTCACTTTTTGTAGAAAATTTAAAAAAAAAAATCATCATGGGATCTTAAAGCCCCAATACTGCCAACTTGTGCATGTGTAACTGTATTCCTGAGAGTAAAATGTTTGCAGTATTGGGGCCTAACACCAATGTTTTTGTGTCTCAAGTTTTACTGCAAACTTGTTAAAGTCACATTATGGGGTAAAAGGTGAAAAAAAATATATAATCAAACATTTTGACATTTATAGTAGCCAATCTGAGAATGGTGGTAGGAGAAGGAGATGCTCTTTCCAGATGCTATAGAAAGGAGATTAAAATTTGACCTTCAAAAGTAACTACATCCTAGAAATTTGCAACACATAGGTATAATGAATTCTTTACCTAAACCTCTAGATAAGCAGAGTATAAAGTAAATGAGTACCATGTCTAATATTTGGGAGATTACATAGTTACCATGAGTTTGGTTTTTCTGTAGCCTGAGTGTGAAACAAACCAAAGTGAAAACTGAGCATCTTTTACTGAGCTAACAAAAAGATTTTTGCCACATTTTAATTGGTTTTATGACTAATCATATACTTTTAATAAAAAGTTAACTAGACAAGGATCAAATTCTGGACTCCAATCTAGATCCCTTTATGTCTTTGCATCAGTTTACAGCAGCTATTCATTCCTGCCCCGCCCCGCCTGTCATAATTAAGGCTAATAGATTTTGAAACAGCAGGAAAACATTTGCCTGTACTTCCTATTATCTGACAATATTTTTGTCATTCTTTAACAGCTGTGGGTAACAGCATCAACATACTACAGGTGAAATTGTTTATATATAATTTTTTTTTTTTAAATCTGCATATTGCTCTGTGCAAAAGAGCATTAAAGCTCTGATTCAGGGCCTCATTCTGCAGAGTACTTAAGAATGGGCGTAAGCCCTATTGACTTCAGGGCCTCACCAAGGTGATCAAGCACATGCCTAACTTTTAAAATCATGAATGGGCACATTGAATTTATGAGCTCTAATTATGCCCTATCAATACCAGTGGCATGTTAGATATGATTATATTTTTTTGTTAATTATATATGATGGTATTGTTTCTCTTTAACGCATCAGCATTTAATTCTTTAAAATCACTGACTAATGTGGCTTGTAATCAGTTTTTCCCTCCCCACCACATTCTGAGCATAAATGGCTGTCTTCATCTTCCAATTATTCTTCCTCCCTCTTCTCCCCTCCCCCCCGCCCATCACAAGGATAAGGTGGTTTTGGCATGGATTATTATAGTATTTGCCAAGTCAGCTCTGAACATTTCAAGGATATGTACAGTACTCAGACATGCACTAAATAATTTACTCAGTGTTTTTTTTTTAAAGACCGCAATAGCTGTATATCTTGCACATCATTGTTTGAAATGTTATGAACTTTTGACTTGAACTGTTGTAGATTGTTTACCTTGTTAATCTAGTGTGAGTGACATTTTAGATGCTACATACTTGATCAAAAGAGGCTTGTGTTTAAAACATATTTTAATCTCCTAGTTCTAACCATATCTACTGCATAATCTGCTTTAATTTGTCACTTTAAGAACAGCATATTTTAAATGTAATCTAAATATGCCTACTTTTAAATTTTAAAAGTATAATGATGTTCTGTCTATAAATTAAATACTTAAACAAAAAAAGGCACAATTCTTTTTTCTCTCCAACCAACAAAGAAGGCATACAATTGCTTTGGGGTTTTTTTGGGGGGGGGTGGAGGGCAGGCCTCGGGGAGGAGGAGGAGGTGTGGGGGAGAGGCTCCTGTGTGATTTAAATACTTGTTAATCTGCTTCTTTAAATATCATAAACAAAAGTATCAACATATTTCCAAGGACAAAGGAGGAGTTTGCAAACCCTGTGATTGGTTGGTTGCTAGTTAGTCCTGTCCCAGAGTCATCCTTAATTGGCTTTGGGTAGGGTTGGATTCACATAAGCAGGGTGACATTTATTGCATTCTTACTTGTTTCTTTGCATTGACTCTAAGGTATTGGGTTCTGAGAACTGAGGCTTCAAGGAATATTGCCAGGGACTTACTTTATTTCATGTATGACCTGAACGGAGGCTGTTAGTCTAATTCTGTGAAGAGCAGACATGAGCTTGTATGCAAGAAGGGTAACTTTGCCAGCGATTACTCCAATAGCTCTTCAAAAAAGGGTAGGGCGTTTAAGTAAGTGTGTAACATTCACTGTAGTGTGTGTGTGTGTGTGTGTGTGTGTGTGTGTGTGATAAGTGGTTGCACAGTTTAAACGAACAATGCTTTAAATACATATAATGTAGCCATATATAAGCAGATGTGATTTTTAAAAATTCTATAATTTTAAGAAAATAGTGAAATGTCTTTATTTCATCTAGTTGATTAATGCTTATTAGACTACTTGTCACACACATAATTTTCTCTGTAAGGTACAGTACTATAACCACAAAAATTATAAGAGAAAAATGTATGTATAGAATATCTTAGTTGGGCCAAAAACGCTAAATATCATAATTCCATTTATTAATGTTAAAATATGCACTTTTTATAGGGGTTTTTAAGGGCATGATCCAAATCCCACTGAAGTTTGGATCAGCGTCTATGTTCTTATACTCTCTTACTGACTCTTTTGGCTAAGCTTCAGTTTAAAAGTTAAATGTAAGCATTAATGTTTAGTTTAAAAAAACTGTTAGAAACTATTTTAAACTTATTTGTTCCAGTTCTTAATATAAGGATTTAACTTTTAAAAATGTATTTATGATACAAAATCATACAATTTTGATATTACACCTTGTGAATAATAACCAGAGTTAGAAACTAGCCAGTCTATGTCATGTGGCTGTATAGACACTTAAAAATAACAAGTTGAGTGAGGGAGATATTCTTCTTTTCTAATACAGTGGTATTAATTTATATTAAATGCAGGAATCTCTATCTGTTTTTAATAAACCCACGTGATTTTAAATAGATTTGCAAAGGTAGGTTTCATTGCCATGTGCTATAGCTTTATTTCCCTGAAATAAATGAAATTCTGGTAAATAGGGTCTTTTGTTACTCAGTTGCTCTTGAGACACTGTCACAGCTATGAAAGATGGAATTTCAGTGAAACATCATTGTAGTTTTAGAGGCTTTCAAGGCCATCTCTACAGAAATAAGACATAGTGCATGTTTGTTATGACCTGTTTGGCCCATGGTGTGTACACTATTTGATCACACAGCTTTTGAGCCAAAACTGTTTTCTGAGTAAGAAGAGCTACAAGTTTTTGATTAAAAAAAAGTACATTAGGAGAATGGTAAGATTACCCAGTTCAGCATTCAAAATTCAGGAAATGCCGCAATTAAGGTTTTACATATAACTTAATTTTTCTGTCTTGTGCTATATGCATTATGATACTGTCCTAATTAGATGATTGTGTACTATATCTAGGATATAATATTCTCCTCCCTCCCCCACCTTAGATATGCAAATAGCATGTTGTAAATGTCAGTGTCCTTGTCTCCTGGCATTTTGTTTGTCCTAATAGTCCAATATATCTTAACTGACTTGCCAGAGAAGAAAATTTTCTTCTCTAGCATCTAAAATGTTTGAATGTTAAGTTAATCAATACTCTTGTATTATGCATTTTATTTTCAACAATGCTTTCATGTATTTTAGGAAATGAGGCAGTTAGCTTCCAAGATAATTCAGTTGTAAACTTAGGTGGTCTACATGTTGCCACAATCTTTCATTATTGCTCTATTTTTGTTTATTGGGCATTTGTTTTAATGGACTTTGTCTAGTACAGACAGAGTAATACACAATATTACCCACTACACTTGTGCTGTAGACACTGACATAGGTAAAGGTGTACCTGTAACTTTGGTGTTTGGTGTACCAGTTCCCTGGTTTTTGAATACTTTACTTTACCTGCAGCCTTAAAGTTTTTATCAGAATTTTCTGTGTGCACAAATGAAGGAAAAAATAATTCCACATTTTTTATTTTTGCTGTTTAATTAGATACCACCAGTGTCCAATCCTCTGAAACTTTATAAGGTATGCCTGAAAGACCCCATTCTTCCACGAACCTTAGGAAGTGTTTAAGTGTTCTTTACGTACTTTACAGATGGACAGACAGTGAATGGGACAAGTGTGCCAGTCAGCCCTTCCCCAAGCTCCGCACAACTTCACTAAGTCTTTCAACATGCAGCTAAGTTAGCTATGCATGCATGCTTAGTACAGCATGCTTAGTACAGCCTTCCACATTTTATAAGCTCAGTGAGAGAACTGCAAAATGTGTGCACCCAGAGTCCGATATTCAATGGATATCTGATCCAAACAACTTTTACACTGGAATACTCAAAGGCACGTGTCCTTGATTAGGGCTAATTCAATGCCAAATTTAAACTTCCTGATGCAGGTTGTGCTCTTTGTATCTGTGCATGTGGCATACCCTCTGTATGGATCTCTTTTCTCCCCCCTCCCCCACCCGCCCCCCAAAGGATGACTTAGCCAATTCTGTAGCACCATCTTCCCCAGTGTTTTCCCCAGATATTAAAATTCGGGGGAGTGTTTGAATATATGGGGGATGGAGAGGGGAAGAGGGTCAACGAGGGTTGAGATTGTGCGGGCGAAGGTGGGCTGAATAGTGCCATAGTAAAAACGGAAAAATGTTTCATGACTATTTTATTAAATTGAACTCCTGTTTTAAAATCATCAGAGAAATTAAAGTTGGCTACTCAAGCCTACTATGAAGCACTACATCTACATCCTTCTTGGCTTCTTGTAATTTTGCACAACTCTTTGGTGTCTTCTTGTGTGTCCATTACTTCCAGTCCTTCATGATATGATATCATGCAGAAGGCAACTTCTTTCAGAACACACAATTCTATTCAATGAGGAAAAAGAATGCTCAACTGTAGCGGTTGTGACTGGGAGTAGCAAGAGATGAATTCCTACTTCTTTCATCCTAGGAAACATAGCACAAAGATTGGGTCGAACCACTAGTAGTGATGATGATGAAGAAGAAGTTGAAGTTAAATCTTCATTTGTTTGTTGTATGATATGCCACTCTGTGTTCAAAATTCTCTATTCTGTCCTGATCACATAGCAGCCCCATTGCAGGTAGCACCTCACTCCACTCAACTGTAGATCTTTTATAAGACAGACATCTGTAAAAGCTTTGTAGAAGTTGAGTAGAGTCCAGAAATCACTATTGTAGATTTGTAAGAATCAAGTCTGTGTACTTTTTCAGCTGGCTTGGCATCCCATAAAGAGTCAATAGAAGTGCCTTCATTAGTCAACTTCTGGACTGAAGTCTTTGTTTCTTCCAGTACGTTTTCAGTGGATATCTCTGATTGATCCAAGGGTAGCTTCTATTGCTGGACAAAGATCTATTACTGTTTGTAGCAGATGCCTGGATGACATCGTTTAATGACCCAAGTGGTTTCAACAGTAGACTTACCAGAGAGAGAATGGCGATAGTCTTCTCTGAACTTAGTAACAAAAGTAGTCCACCTGCCTCACTACTTAGATCCATCCCATCTCGGTAGATACTTTCCAAAGCCAGTAATAATGGTTGCAGTAATTTTAAGACAACAGCCAAGAATCGCTCATGAGAAAGCCAGCAGGTTTTCCCAGGTTGGACTAACTTGAACTTCAGTCCCAGTGTATCTTCTGTTTGTTTCCAATATGTTCAGTTCTTCTGGACTCTTGCTGAAAAAAGAATATAACACAGCCATTAAATTTATGGCTTTGTTAATGTATTTTGAAGATTCTGCAGCTCATACTAGAGCTAGCTACAGTAGATGGCCTCTGCAGCATGTATAGGAGAGTTTAGAGTTGCACTTTTCTCTGAGCAAAGCTTGCATTCCACTATGTCTTCCAGAGAAGTTTGCAGTTCCATCAAATGCACAAGCAGCCATCTCTTTGGGGTTCAATTTACAAGCATTTAACTCTAAGATGTCACAAATGCAGCTGATGTCTCTTCTATAACCTGAACATCTAGAATGCATCTACTGGCTTTCCACAGCTATCAAGATAACATACGCAAGAACTTAATACTTGACACCCATTTACATAGGTGCATTCATCAGCCATGTATGCAAATTTTCTGAATGTGGTGAGAGAGAGTTCTTCACTTTTTCAATTACTAAGTCTTTCACTGTTGCACTGCATGCTTCTAACCTGTCAGTTGAGTTTCTTGCAGAAAGATAGTGAGCATTTGCTGGTCTTGTTCGGAACCAGTGTACAACTTCAGGATTAACAAATGACAATGCTCTTAACATTGGCCTCCAATTTTTAGTGTGTGGTATCTCTTGCTTAAATAGAAAGTATGGTGCAACAGCCATGTTGGTTCACATAAATTGAGTTGTATCTCCACCATTATTAACAGCCTTATTAAGTAATTCTAAAATTGACTTTGATAGTGACTGGCTTATAAGGCTTTCTGCATGTTGATGCAGTCCAGAGGCATTTCATGTAGGTTGTCAGTTTTGGCTTGGCTGATCAATCTGGCAAACCAAGTTCCTCCACTTTTACTCTATAAATCCATGATATGCCCACATCTTGAATACTGTATGCCGTTCTAGTCACCCCATCTCAAAAAAGATATATTGGAATTGGAAAAGGTACAGAGAAGGGCAACAAAAATGATTAGGGATGTGGAACAGATTCCATATGAAGAGAAATTAAAAAGATTGGGACTTTTCAGCTTGGAAAAGAGATGACTAAGAGTGGATATGATAGGGGCCTATAAAATTTTGATTGGGTGTGGAGAAAATGAATAAGGAAATGTTATTTACCCCATCACTTAACACAAGAACCAGGGGTCACCCAAGGAAATTTAATAGGCAGCAAGTTTAAAGCAAACAAAAGGAAGTATTTCTTCACACAGTGCAGTCACCTGTGGAACTTTTTGCTAGGGATGTTGTGAAGGCCAACATTATAAAAGGGTTAAAAAAAGAACTGGATAAGATCCTGGAGGATAGGTCCATCAATGGCTGTTAGCCAGCATGGGCAGGGATTCAACACCATGCTCTGGGTGTCCCTAGCCTCTGTTCACCAGAAGCTGGGAGTGGACGATGGGATGGATCACTCCATGATTCCCTGTTCTGTTCATTCCCTCTAAAGCAACTGCCATTGGCCACTGTTGGAAGACAGGATACTGGAGTAGATGGACCATTGGTCTGACCCAATATGGCC